GCCCTGGCCCATGCCCTGCAAGCCTCCCGGCACGACTGTGACCTGCTGCGGGAGCAGTATGAGGAGGAAGTGGAGGCTAAGAGTGAGCTCCAGAGGAACTTGTCCAAGGCCAACGCAGAAGTGGCCCAGTGGAGAACCAAGTATGAGACGGATGCCATCCAGAGGACAGAGGAGCTGGAGGAAGCCAAGTGAGTCTCATGGCAGGAGTCTGTTCCTTGCAGGTGGCATGCTTCCATTCAAAGATGCAGCTTTCCCAGACCCCACAGTGAGACTGCATCCTCCTGCATGGACTTGAGGCTGTTTGGGCAGGCTGTGGCCTCCCCTCCTTTAGAGCAGCGGGGTGGGATGACACTTGGGCTGGGAGCACTCATCCCTTGCTGCCATCGACAGGAAGAAGCTGGCCATCCGACTGCAGGAGGCAGAGGAGGCAGTGGAGGCTGCCCATGCCAAGTGCTCCTCACTGGAAAAGACCAAGCACCGGCTGCAGACAGAGATTGAGGACCTCTCGGTGGACCTGGAGCGCGCCAACTCGGCCTGTGCTGCCCTGGACAAGAAGCAGCGCAACTTTGACAGGATCCTGGCTGAGTGGAAGCAGAAGTATGAGGAGACCCAGGCAGAGCTGGAGGCATCACAGAAGGAGTCACGCAGCTTGAGCACAGAGCTCTTCAAGCTCAAGAATGCCTATGAGGAGTCCCTGGACAACCTGGAGACCCTCAAGAGGGAGAACAAGAACCTGCAGGGTAGGACTGGGCTCAAGCTTTCCCCTTGGACTCTCTGCCCAGTGTCCTGCTCTCACGGGCAGCCTGTGGGTCCCCTGTCCTCAGCCATGTGGTGGGATGGGGGTCCCTTGTAGGCAGAGAGCAGACCTTGCTCCTCAGCCAAGCCTGGCCCATTTCCTCCTTGGAGGGATGCAGCAGCCCAGCCAGGAAGCCAGCATGTGTCCTGCCCTCTTGCTGGGGGCACTCTGGGCAGACAGGCAGTGTCACTTGGTACTTGTTTGCAAGTGGTGCGTGTTTTGCTACCAAGAGTGCCATGGCTGTGGCATGACACTGGCTTGGAGGTGTTGCTCTTGGACAAGCAGGTCTCCATGGGTCCTTAATGCCTCTCCCTGTCCTCTCCTTCACCCAGACTGCAGAAATGTCCCCAAGCACAACCTCAGCTGCTCCCCACGGGGCTGGGGGGACATCAGTTGAGCCTGGGCAGGGGGATGGGGAAGTCACCTGCACAGGGCTGGCCCCACAAACTCGTTCCTGACCAAACGCCCTTCTGTCCCTGCCAGAGGAAATTGCTGATCTGACTGACCAGATCAGTCTGAGTGGCAAAACCATCCATGAGCTGGAGAAGCTGAAGAAAGCCCTGGAGAGTGAGAAGAGCGATATCCAGGCAGCTCTGGAGGAGGCTGAGGTGGGTCCTTGTTTCCCACTGAAGCTTGCACATGCCCGCTGCCCTCGAGAGCCACTGGCCCACCCTGCAGCTCTGGTTGGATGCTGCTGGAGCAGCAACCCACACTGCACTAGCAGGGTGACAGTCCTGAGCCAGGCTGCAACCCCTGGGTACCCTGCTCATGCGGGTTGTGCAACCGCAGCAAGGCATTGGGGTGGCTCCACCTGCCCTGCTCCCCATAGCTCTGGGCTGGGGGGCAAGGCCAAGCTGGGGTGGGTGGCTGGGGAGATTCCCCCCCAGGGCCACCTTCTCATGGCTGCTGCTGTCTCTAGGGAGCCCTGGAGCATGAGGAGAGCAAGACGCTACGCATCCAGCTGGAGCTGAACCAGATAAAAGCTGATGTGGACAGGAAGCTGGCAGAGAAGGACGAGGAGTTTGAGAACCTGAGGTGTGTGTGGAGAGGGGACAGGCTGGGCCATTATGGCAGGGGCAGAGCTGGTACTATGGCCCTGACAGGGCTGCCACAGACTGGGTGTCCCTGGGTGGATGGGGCTGATGCATCATCCCTCCCGCAGGCGCAACCACCAGCGTGCCATGGACTCCATGCAGGCCACGCTGGATGCAGAGGCCCGGGCCAAGAACGAGGCTGTTCGCCTGAGGAAGAAGATGGAGGGAGACCTGAACGAGATGGAGATCCAGCTGAGCCATGCCAACCGCCAGGCTGCCGAGTTCCAGAAACTGGGCCGCCAGCTCCAGGCCCAGATCAAGGTTGGACGGCTGCGGGTGGGACAGATTCAGTGCTGTCCCTGCTGTCAGCCCCACCTCCCTCCTGTCCCCACTGACCCCGTGTTGCCCGGCAGGACCTGCAAATCGAGTTGGATGACACTCAACGCCACAACGACGACCTGAAGGAGCAGGCAGCTGCCCTGGAGCGCCGCAACAACCTGCTGCTGGCGGAGGTGGAGGAGCTGCGGGCAGCACTGGAGCAAGCAGAGAGGAGCAGGAAGCTGGCAGAGCAGGAGCTGCTGGAGGCCACTGAGAGGGTCAACCTGCTCCACTCCCAGGTGAGGGACCACTGGATCCCAGGTCTCTGCTGTCACTGAAGCAGCAGGAGTCTGTCTGGCAGTGGGGCCGTCAGCCACGGTGAATGGCCGGTCCCTGTGGCACTGCCCTGCTCTGTCTGCAGAACACGGGCTTGATCAACCAAAAGAAGAAGCTGGAGACTGACATCTCACAGCTGAGCAGCGAGGTGGAGGACGCGGTTCAGGAGTGCCGCAATGCTGAGGAGAAGGCAAAGAAGGCTATCACAGATGTAAGAGTGCAGTGGGGATGGTGCTGTATGGTTTGGCAAGGGTGCCCAGCACCCTGTGGGGCTGGTGGGTGGGAGGACAAGGGAAGGTCTCAGAGCTTCTCCATTGACCCCTGTGTCTGGCAGGGCTGCCTGGCCTTGTGGTGATGCCTCTGTGCTCTTGGCCTTGCAGGCTGCCATGATGGCAGAAGAGCTGAAGAAGGAGCAGGACACGAGTGCACACCTGGAGCGGATGAAGAAGAACATGGAGCAGACCATCAAGGACTTGCAGATGCGCCTGGACGAAGCAGAGCAGATTGCTCTCAAGGGGGGCAAGAAGCAGATCCAGAAGCTGGAGGCCAGGGTGAGATGGCAGGGGCAGATCCCTGGCTGTGCCACCTAGGAGCAGGCTCCTGGCACTGCCCCAGGCCCTGTAGCACCAGGCTCTGCAGGGCACCGGCACTGTCCCATCCCTCTGGGGCCAGACTGTACCACAGGGGGACTGTGGGCAGTGAGGGGCAGTCCCTGAGGACCTGCAAGCCTGGGGCTGGCTCCATGGCCTTTGCTTGGGGTGGCTTAGCCTTGGCTGTGGCTACTGTGATCTGGGGAAAGTGATTTGACCTCGGCTGGTGCTGGCACTAGGGAGCAGAGTGCTGAGCTGGCCTCTATCCACCCGCAGGTACGGGAGCTGGAGGGAGAGCTGGATATGGAGCAGAAGAAGATGGCTGAAGCCCAGAAGGGCATTCGCAAGTATGAGCGGAGGATCAAGGAACTGAGCTACCAGGTATGGCAGCACCAGGCGCAGCTCCAGCCCAGCAGGACTTGGCCCAACTCTCCCTGCGCTCAGATCCTTGTGTTATCCAACACCCCACTCCAGCCCAGCCCAGCCCTGCTGCCTTCTGGGTGCTGTGCTGGGACTGACAAGGGTAGGACAAGTTTCCCCCTGTCCCAACATCCACCACCTGCTCTCTTTCTTGCCCCTTTGCTAGCACCTCCTAAGCTAGGTAGTGGGGGATGAGGGGAGACCAGGGGGGATATGGGGCTGGTGCCTGGCTCGGTGGGGCGGATTGGTGCTCTCTATGTGTGAAGGGCCCTGGCACCACTGGGACTCCTGGATAAAGGTTGGGGGGGGTCTGCTGGAGTACTGCTAATGGGGCCAGGGCACCTGTAGGCTGAGGAAGACCGGAAGAACCTGACACGGATGCAGGACCTGATCGACAAGCTGCAAAGCAAGGTCAAGAGCTACAAACGCCAGTTTGAGGAGGCGGTAAGTGCCTGTCCCCACCACTGCTCTCCTGGGGCAGAGGCCAAGTGCTGGCCTTCCCTAGGGCTGCCTGGGATGGCTGCAAGGGAAAGGGGCCATGAGATTGGCATGGCGAGCTCGCAGCCTGGTGTCCTGGCTGTGCCCCAAACATCCACCTCCCCTCACCCCATCTAGGAGCAGCAGGCCAACTCCAACCTGGTCAAGTACCGCAAGGTGCAGCACGAGCTGGATGATGCCGAGGAGCGTGCCGACATCGCCGAGACGCAGGTCAACAAGCTGCGCGCCCGCACCAGGGAGGTCATCACCTCCAAGGTAAGCCCAGCCAGCCATGGGGAAGGAAAAGCAGGGCAAGGGCTTCTGCCATCCCTGGAGCCAGAGGAGCCACTGTACAGCCCACGGCCTCATTGTGCCTGGCGCTGCTGTCCTCACCTGCCACTGTTGCCAAGACCTGAAGGGTGGCAGAGTGCTCCCTGCCACCAGGCCCAGGTTCTCATCAAAGCCCTTTTTGTTTTTTTGCCAGCACGAGTAGCAGAAGCCCAGCTGCCTGCTGTATGTTGGAGGCAAATGGCTGCAACAGTCACTGCCAGCTTTGCACTGCGTGAATAAATGTAGATCTGCCAGGACTTGCTCTGTTGTCTCCGTCACAGGGGTCTGCTGCTGGAGAGGTGGGGGGCAAGCTGGGGCCATTTCTCACAGCCAGGTAGGGGCAGGAAACAGGCACAGGCCTCCCCTCTCCCTGCTCTATTGCCCTGGCTTGCTCCAGACTTTTGGTGGGTTTTGGTAAGAGCCCTTTCCTCTTCCCTCCCCACTGCCCCCCTTCAGCCCTCTCTCCCCTTTAGGGGACCAGACCTGACGGGTGAGGGTGGAGGGCAGAGTGTAAAAAACATACCCCCTTGGGGAGAACATAAAAAACCCCCTCGCTACAGTCCTGCAGGGCAGAGGGAGAGTTGTTAACAGCTTTGGCAAAGGGACTGCAAAGAAAGACATCTCCACTCATTTCTTTAAAATAGATTTCTTTAATAGTTTCCATTTAATATGTTCATTTGCAGTTAGTAAATTGGCATTAATCTGGGCAGCATGAACTTCAGCAATCCATAAGGCTAGTGCAGACTTCCAGTATTTGTTAGTGACAGGGGTGCCCTCTCCACCCCTGTTGCAGCACACAGTCTGCTCCAACCTCCACTGAAGCCAGCGAGCTCTCCCCAGCACCATGCAGGACACTTCCTCCCTGTGCTCTCCATAAATAAGACAAAACAAGGATGAAGGAGAGAGCTGTCTGGTCCCTCTCAAAATAAAGATTCTTGAGGCCTCTGGCATGGACAGATGAGCCCACAGGAATGTGGCCCTCAGTTAAAATTTGCCTGTGACCCTCTCTGCATGCTCATGCCCCTGCCCACCACAGGCAGAGCCTTTCCTCTGGAGACCAGTGCGCTCCCTCCTTGGAGGGGCTGCTGTGGGTTTTTTTCCTGTGCCCTTCTCTGCAGCCAGCCAACTTGGCCTCCTGCGTCAGCCTGAAGGCGAAAGCAAAGCCAAGCTGCCTCTAGCAGGCGAGCACCCAAAAGTTACTGTGCTCCCAATGCTGGGGGAGGAGCAACCCACGAGCCAGAAGGCAGGCTGGCGTGATTTCAGCTCAGCCTCACGCAGGCCAATAGCCAAGGACAGACACGGCTTGGCCCCTAACTGTACGTTACATAAATACAGAGATTTAAATGAGACTCTGCAGGTTTATAGCAGCAATCATTGGATGCACCAATTAACTAGACTATGGAAAAGGCATCCCTTAACTTAAAAGCCTTTTAATTTGAAGCATTTATTTGAAGTGTACATCTATTACAGTTAAGAAGCAAAGATACACCAAAAACACAAATACCCAAGAACAAAAAAAGTACAGATGAGAAAGAAATCAGCTCAGGGGAGGGAGGGGGCCAGGTGGGGGTGACCTGATGAAGAACAGAGAGTTGCAGCTACCATAGCAAAGAGCTCCCGCACAGAAAGGGTGCCACCAGGGTAACCTCACTGGAGCAGGGCAGAGTCTGCCCAGGGGATTCAGCCCCCCAGGAAGGGACACAAGGATCCCCAGGAGCTCCTGCAAGGCTCCAGGTTTATGCACAAGCTCAGCAGCTCTGACCACCCTGCAAGCAAAGTACTGACTGCAAGTCCACAGCAGGACACAGAAGTGCAAGATGAGTGAGAGGAGAAGGGTGACTTTTAGAGAGCAAGTCCTGCACCTGGGGCTGGAAGCCTCATTCACTCATCCAGGCCCCAGCACAGGGAGCCTCAGAGTGGGTTTCATTCTGCTGGCAACAGTTAAAGACAAAATGCTACAGCTCTGGGACATCCTTGCCACCGGTCCCTCGCCAGAGCCTGGAGAGAGCTGAAGTCATCTCATCAAATAAGTTAAGAAAATTTAAAAAAATTCAGATGCATGTTTCAAAGAAAACTGGTTTCTTTTAGCTGGAGCTGCAAGACACAGTTGTTGTTTTTTGTTTGGGTTTTTTTTTTTGACTTAAATGCAGTAGCTCAGGACTTCAGACTGTATTTTGTTCCTGGGAATCTGACTGTCTCGGAGCAACACAGTTAACACTGGTGAGCAGGCGAGGCATATGCAGGTTTGGCAATCAGGACTGCCAAAACCTGATTCCCCCTTCCCCAACATATCCTACAAAGTTACTTTCAACCAGGAGTGTTTGTTCCCAGCATTTAACACATTCTGATTAAAATACATCCAGGAAAAAACTGACATCTCCAGTCAATATTGCACTTCAAGATTAATGTGTGTGTTGATATTAAGGACTGAAAGCAGAGACTGACATAAGACTTCCAGGTATAGCAGGTTAGAATCAAGAGCAATGGTCCTGAAGAGGATTTTAAAACCAGATTAGTTACCCAAGAAGGGACAAGCCGCAAGTTTAAAAAATTAGTACATTTTAATGCTAGTGCTCCGTGAAAAAGCCAACCCCTGTTGCAATTCCACCACTGCTGAAATGTCTCTGTTCTCCGCAGCATTGTAAAATGCCTTCAGATGGGAAGGATCTGCAGGAAAGACAGCAGGAACAGAGGTTCTCTCCTAACGCACAGACAGACAGGTTTAGTACCAAATGATCCAAAAGTAGATGGTAAAGAGGTGACTGGAGCTAGGGCTCTCAGGAATTAAAAGCACACACACACGCACACACACTCACACTCTAACCAACCCTAAACCCCTGATTCCAAACCCCAACAGGAGTTACACATGAAGGGAGTCCATGTGGTGGCTCTGCACGTGGCTGGTGTGTCGGGGTCCCAGTCAGACGGGCTCCTTGGACCTCACATTTGGAGGGCAATTTCTGTGCTTTTTGACTTGCTAATTCTGGTAGCCATGAAAGAGAGCCACAACTAAATTGGCACATACAGAGTATCCTCATCTGTCAGGAAAAAAAAAAAAAAAAATCTCTGACCAGCAACACTGGACTGGGAGAGAGAAAAAAAAATAAAGAGGCTGTTTTTTGCAGGTGATTTACTTTTTATCCCAGAACAACTGGAAGATACATCCCTGAATGTGTTGCCCAGAGAGCTTTCAAGGTCTCATCCATTAGAGATCAGAGATGGGGACCAGGAGGGGACTGGGGTTTTAACAATGCAGTAACGCTCCACAGTTCCAAGCTGCACACGCACACACACACTACACAGCGTATCCCTGAAAATCCATGGGCTGCGAGGTACCCTCCAAGCGCTGTCCATCAGAAGCCAGAGCGAAGAACTACTCCTCAGAAAAGTCTCTGTCAATGTCCATATATGCCTCGTCGATGTAGCTAACTATGGCACAGGGGGATGTCCGGTCTGGACTGAGCAGTATAGATACAGTCTCTTTCCAGTAGGTAAAACTAATACATGAGCTCTGTGGAAAGAGATGAAGAGGCTGGTTAGCATGGTCCACAGGCACCAACATGCAGCAGAAGACACATCCCAAAGGCATTCAGCAGAAAGAACTGAAAATCACTTCCTATTCAGCCTGACTTCCCCAGCCACATAGATTAACACCTCTGATTCACCATTCAGCCCATCCTTCCTGGGGTGTAGAGCAGAAGGTGTGGATGCTGAACCAACTACACCTTCTACAACCAGCCTCCCACTATCCAGCTACAGGCAGGGACTCCCTGCACCTGTGGCAACTATAGCCCTGCTAAGAGCAGCACAGGGTGACCACCATGCCAGCAAGTCTGGGGTGCTTTCCACAGGACAGCTGCCTTGTCTTCTAGCAGCTAAATCAGATACTTTTCCTGCACTGTTTGCCACACCAGGAAGAGGGGACAGTCTGGTTAAGGTGTTAACTAGTGTGGGAGCTGCATTCTGCCCTGCCTCCACATCCCTGTGCAGGGCTGGCCATCTCGCCAGCCCTGCCTCTCAAACCTGCTCAGCATTGGCAAGTCCCACTTCTGTGTGCCAGAGCCAAGACCTAAGGTCTTGTTTAGACAGAAACCCAGCACCGACCCTGTGGCAGTCTGACTGCTTGCAGAAGGGACCTGACTGGCTAAGATGGTGTGACAAACACTACAGAAAGTTACACTGCAGGGCAGAACTTGCTCCCTTCTTTCCCTTCACAACCCCTCACTTCCCATTTTTGCTAGGTGACTAGTAGACAGATAGTGCTATGATTGATTCTTGCTATGGTAAGAGGTACACATACATTTTCTAAGCATGTGCTGTCTTTATCCTTATTGAGGTAATGCTGTTGCCAGAATCGCAGGAGACTGTGGAAGTTGTTCAGGATGAAGCCTGGGTATTTTTCTGTATATTCCATCTGTTGCAAAGTGCGCAGATAAAAAGGTAGCTTTTCTTTCCTTCGGGCCAGCATTAGGATAACTAAACTTGTGTTCAAACAACTGACATTTTCCTAAAAGTAAAAATGACGCAGTAGGTCAAACAACAACAACAACAAAACAAAAAAACCCCAACACTCCTCCCAAATCAAGATATTGGTTGTACACATATCCTTAAAAAACGTGCTCGTGGTAAGCATGCAGAGGAGGTGCTCCTACATGTATCAAGAAAGAAGGGACCTGGGTCTCCTCAAGAGAAGCCAGATTCCTCCCTGCTCCCAGCCCAGTTCATCACTACACAGTATCAGCAAGACAACTGCAAAGTTACTGTCAGCTCTTTACCTGTGTAAGTGTCTGTACATGAATAATATTAATGAGACGGAAAAGAAAGGACATTCTCATGGACATCTGGGACATATATGATAACAGGCGGCACTCTGACAGGACTTCTGCAACTGCGGCAAGAGGAAAGAGACAATCACTGGGTGCTTAAAGCTCAGATACATTGCAATATGGCAGTAAGAACTGCTGCTCAGACTATAGCAACAAACCTGCAAGGTGGCATTCTCTGTCTAAACCCAAAATTTTCAAAGCCCAGACTTAACATAACCATTATCACTACCAAACACCCCCTCACCCCCCATTTCTTATTCTTTACCTTTAGCATCAGACTGATTCTCAAATCGGTCCAGGGACAGTGTAATGCAGCGAACAAGCATGTTGGAGTCAACCAATGAACTGTTGATCTGATTTAAAAATACCTGGAACTAAAGAGAAATACTTTTAAATGTTGCATTAAAAAACAAACAAAAAAATTCATCTTACACGAACACTCATAGATGAGGTCTGACCGAACAGCATTTCATACCCTTTTCAGAATGCATATGGCCAAGAGATGTACTAAACCAATTACTCTGTTGGCACAAGGGGAACAGGTCAGCAAACCCAAGAAGGAAGAGCTATGAACAAGGTTTGGCGACTAGAGCAACAGTAAGTGTTCTCCAGATTTTTGACACTGAAGGAGTGCAGTTCTTGAAGGTTACTGGAGAAATCGCCTTGAATTCTGAGCACAAACATGCACTTCACCAAAATAAGGCTTCACAGATGTGGACAATTTTCCCTTTCCTTCAGAAACAAAAGTTAGGTTCAGAATGCCATAATACTCAGGGTCATTACCTTTTTGTTATCTCTAACAAAAATAAGAGGAGATACACACTCCTGAGCCTGCCTCATCCAGCCCAAGCCAATACTGGCACCAACGGCCGACCAAAGGATCCCTATAGCAAGTACCTTAAAAACACTAGAGAACAGAAAATCAATACCAAAGTCCTGGCACCACTAAAAACTCTTTTGAAGCTGTGTCAGTTCAATGAGACCAAGATTTCATATGTTACTTGTTTTGAAAGAGGGAGACGAGACAGCATGGCTGCTGGCCTCCGTAGTTCCTCCAGCTCCATGTTTTCCTACGCTTATTTTGTACAAGCAGACAGTGCTGGGGAGGAATACAGCAAGGGTTTTCATACAGCATGAGAATTAAAAAAAGTTATACATCAATAAATAGGAAGCACACACAAAGTATAAAGAGAGATTCTCTAGAATGTGTGAGTTCATTTACCAGAAAACAACCTGAAATTCAATACATCTTTCTTTTAAATACATCTCTGCTTCTATTCTCCAAGGTCTGCCAGACCTAACAGCAACCACAGAAAAATTACCGTAACATAAGCAAGAGTATGAGGTCATTCAAAACCTACAAAACAGCTGATGTTACATGCACAAAGTGCACAAGAGCATGAAACCACTTTGCATAGAGAGCTGCCCATTCCTGATCTACATATGCAACTAAGTTTTATAGGTAATTACATCAGCCATGACTTCTTAAAGTGACTGTAAGTTCAAGTAACATCAAAGATATGTCTTTTTGTAGTATCAAATTTTAATGAATACTTTAAGTCATCTCCATGAAGATCCCCACCCCCAAGCTCCAATCAAAGATTTTTTGGAGCCTGTCTCAATGTCCTCAACTATCAGTTTAACCCAAACCCCAGTGACTTCACAGGAAATGTTCTACCATCTTTGAGCCCTGACCTTAGACCTGCTTGATCATGTAACAGGGCAACATTTTCTGAACAGCTGGGAGCACTTCTGAAAACATGAGTGTATGCAGCAACATACATGCTTGCGAAGAGACTTTGGCAGCTCACTCCTTAGGGTTTATTGTGCACCAAGCTCAACAATCACACCAAAATCAGCAAATGAATCCGAGTTTCTCAGTGCTACGTTTGGTTATAAGAGCATGTAATTTGACCCACTGGGGACAGCTTTTACAAATATTTACCTTCTCATCTGTGTTGATGTACTTGTTGAACCTCTTGAATGCATCAATATTGAATTTCATCAGTTCTCCCAGAAGGTCAAAGTAACTCTGAAGCACATCCCGTGATTTGCACTCACTATCAACAATGCAGTAGAGAATATGCTGGCATGGGAGGAAAACATATTATTGCCACAGTTTAGCCCAAGCCAGCAGTACAGCATAGACTCTGATTTCATCACTATTTAAAACATTTATCTGCAGGTTTAGTTCTTAGATGACAATTCACATGAGTCTTCTGTTAAATTAACTTCCCAGTGATGCAGGCTACACAACTGGCCACCCCACACCTGGTTGCCACAAGCAGAATTCACAAATACTTTTCAAGAATTGCCCTATTCCCAGTGAATATTTAACACTACATTTTCACCCTCTTTTGAATTCATTACAGATGAATCCTTCTTGCTTGCTATGGAGTTACATTACAGAGGAAGCTTGACATATACTTCGTTACCTCCAGGAGTCCTCTCTTTAGCAGGAACATCTGGTCTGCATAGGAGGTGGTGCCTCGCAGAAAACTTTCAACTGCCCTTGCTTGCCAAAACCTGAGAAATAGAAGAAATGAGTTTTTAAATTTTGGAGCAAGGGGAGTACTTTATTTACTGTAATTTAAATCAAGTTTCCTAATCTGTTTTGCTCCAATCTGAAGCTGGAGTCAGACCTCCTGATTGTACAGAAAATCACTGACTGTACTGGGTACGAGGTCCAATGGAAGCTTTGGCATTCTCCCTCACCTGCGCTGCCATTGTAGCCAAGTGCAACAAAGCCAGAACTTTTCACAGCTTACGATTTTCCAGCATTTTCAACTGCTATGAACTGTATGAAAACAAATCAATTTCCCAGTCAACTCAAAACAACACGTTACAGTGCAAAGTGAACCCACCTGAAGGAGGATTCAGCTGGTTCCTTCTTCATGACCTGAAGCAGTCTGGTCAACAAACCTCTTTTCCCATCACAAACGAGACTCCTAGAGCATGTGAAGAAATTACAGCATGAGTGGAAAGGCTGGCAAACACTGTACCTTGCAGAACACTGAATCCTGTCTCTTCTCCAGAGCTTTTAATGATCAAAATCCCAGTATTAAATGTACAGTACAAATACTCATTAACTTTTGTTACTAGTTCTACCAGTGGAAGAGTTCTCCTCACTTGCCTTTGGTAAACATCTGCAATACCTTCAACGTGACTTCCAAATAAATCCTAAGGAAAAATTATTCATTTTCTCTCAAAATTTTAATGATTTCAGAAATACCGATTCACAGCTTGTAGGAATTAATAGATTAGGAAAAAAACATATACCACATTTGAGCTTAGGAATGAAACACATGCCTTTTTTTCCCCTCAACAAATGTAAAGGAAGCTCTAAGTTCTGGTTAGGAGGCAGAGCACAGTTCAGAAATCTAGTTGCTACATGAGGTAGCCTTCTTCTGTATGTACTAGTGAAAGTACAGAGGCTGTAGAACTGCAATACTATTTGTATTAAATAGCATCTTCAGTGCAATATCTACCTACAGTAAGCTCAGCTCCTGCAGAAGCAATGCCTTGATCTCATGTATCAAGAAAAGCAACATGGAAACAAAATGCTAAGGGTGAAAAAGAAACCAAGTTTAGAAACTGAGCAATACTGCCTGTCTGGCTATACAAACCATCCTGCAGAGGTAGAATAAGATGCTTCAGGTGGCACTCTTCTACTCAGAAAACAGCCCAGCATGCATATTCAGCAGATGCACCCAGGTTAACAGCTAATGTATCAGCACCTTTGCGGGGCAGTCAATAGCCAGCTGAGAAAGCCCTTGTGGGAAGTGGATTTCTTGCACCATGACAGCCTGTGCTTACTAACACTCAAGAGAGATGAGAAACTTTGCAGGTCAGAAAAAGCTGTTACACCCCTGATCACTGCTTCCTTTCACTGCGCTTGTAACAGGGTGAATTTTTCCCCCTAAATACTTACTCTTTTTTGAACAAAGCCAGAAAGGTACCTGTGCTTAGAAGGAAAGGATCTGAGTAATACAGACACCATTTCTTCCCAATTAGGCACAGTATTATGATAATAATTATAATCTAGAAATCCTCTTAGAGAATTCCATTTTGAAGCAAGATAAATCTGCTCTGTGTAGACCAAGTCCGTGCTGATACTGTGGGAGCATTCCGACAACTAAATTCTGCAAACAGTGTTTCATCTTGTGAGGTTTGTACATCAGAATCATGTATTAAAAAGCTTATTAAATCAAAATAGTCAATCTAACAGATACTCAAATATAACACTAGAGATTCTCTAAGTGGTTTAACATGTTAATCTAATTTAGCTTATTCTAGTTATTAGCTGCTCTTCAAATAAAGACTCTGAGCAGACACACTTAGATCTGTTTACGCAGACTGGAAATGGACATTATGCGTAAACAGATTGCTCCTGAATCTCAAAACTAGGATTTATTAGTAGCAGCAATTAATGGATTAGAGGCATCCCAGTTTACTTTCCAGGTCCGTCTGCAATGCCTGCAGTGAGAAAAGCCAGGCAAACAGGCAGACCTCGCACATCACAATGAAGTCTGGGCCATGAACCCAAACCCCACATTTTAGGTTGCTTTTGTTTTTACAGCGCCTTACTCTGAGCACAAGGACACTGTGGATTTGCTAATGACCATAAGTATCATACAAACCTAGACACTTCCCACTTAAACATGTCACTGAAACCGAAGCAAGTGTGGTGGACAGAAGGACTTCAGACAAAACGGGTGACATCAAACCTCCAATATAAGTGCTTGTAAAACGCTAGGAGCTGCTGACCTAAACCCTGTATCCCTACTCACCTGTCTGTGTTGACAACTGCATCAACTTCAGGGATGTTGGCTTTATGGGAGATTGCACTCAGCTCATTAAGTTCTTGGCTGTTTAAAAGGAGATACTTGTTCCTAAAGCAAGGCAGTTGGGAAGTAGGGGAAAAACATATGATGAATTCAAGAGGCAGACAAACATGCAACTCCATGAACAGTAAAGCCACACGCCTACGTGGGCTGCAGGACTAGGCAATCAGCTTTCACCTCTCCAGCTTTTCACAGCCATTCACACTCTACTGCTCTCCACCACAGCACATTCCCAAGGTAGGCCAGCTAGCTGCTGTTTTGCAAGCCTCCTCCAAAATTTACCAAACACAAGTTTCAACACTGACCAGCTTTGAGATGGTGGCTCTTGCTGACCTGTTCAAGATCTTATTGCTTGTTTTGCAAATATCTGTTTCCAGAAACACTTGTTTTTTTACAATCTCAGCAACATTTTGCTGAATTTCAGAAGACTTACATAGCAAACTTTTTCACAGCTTCCTACAGTTTTTCCCTGTCTTATAGTGACCACGCTCTTTACCAGTAATAAATCTCAGTTAGAAAGCAGAATCTGCAAAAAAAAGTACTCAAACATCCTGGCATTTTATTACTCTGAGCAAACTGTTTACTCTGGAAATATTTAAAAACTTCATGAAATGTAGAAAACAGAACAGGAATGGATATAAACCCAAGGAATTTGCATGAAATTCTTTATCAAATACTGATCTTTTCATAATGAAAAAATAATTTATCTGTAAAGTAAATTAAATGCAGAAAAAGTCTGACAAAGTAGAAATGTAGTCCAGAGGCTCCCTTTGACAGAGTCCCTGTCCAATGTCAGCGTGCTCCCTTAGAGCCCTCCTACTTCAAAGTGCTCAGAAGCAGACAGCAAAGATTTATTTTCAGGAAACCTAAGGAAGCATAGGATGCAGTGATGAGTGTGAGTGTGTGCAAAGAGAACCTATTCATCAAAACATAGCAACTACACAGAAGATAAATTATTAGACCAGAAAGGTGACGGGGATGCCTTCTTGCTTCAAACACTATCTTCCAGATTAGTGCCCACTGAGGCTGTCACATGAAGCTTCTTTTGATCTGGATCAACACATTTCTGTAATGAAAATAGAGCCTCTCTCTCCATGCAATAAATAGTTAGGCAATTTTGGTTTGTACGCAGTTTTACTGAAGTTAGTATACAAGTACTTGCTGTCATCTTGTCCCCAGCTAACTCAGCTTATCTGTGATTTCACAGAAAGTTCATGTAGCTATTTGTTTAAAACCCTAACCAGATTCCACATGTTCCACTTGATCAAACGTTACAGCTGAAAGCTGTTTTGTGTTTAAACAAGCCTGAGATCTTTGTAGTAGCCACTTAAGTAGGAACACCATCTAAAGAGATTTTATTGGAAAACCTGGAGTGATTCCTACGCAAACAATGTCTCGCATGAAGTATTTACAATAGGTCAGTCTTCCCCTTATGTTTACAGTACGTCCAGTAGCTCCCCATTCTTAAAGCTAATACTCCGCAATCAAAAAGGCTGATACTTCTAATATGCATATCTAACAGTACTAGATAAAACCTACACAAAAACATCACCCTGGCTGTAGATATGACCAGGTAGGCAAGAAGTGCAATATGCCTCAAATGCAGATGTTTGTAAGGAATAGGACACCATCTTGCAGGACTGAATTAGAGCAACAGGACACTGACAGAATGCAAGATACTATTCTACAAGTCAGAAGAGATGAACAAGTACCTCTGTATCATCAGTAGAGAATTAAAAAAAAAAAAACAAAACCCAAGCAAACTCCATCACCCCTCAACTACTCCAGCAGACTCAAGCTTTGTAAGTATGCCTTTTGAAGGCAAACAGAAGCTTTCTTCCTAACTCCAACATAGCTTCCCGATGGCTAGCTGACAGATAATTGTTCCCCTAACATTTTCCCATGCAGTTTAATCAGGTCTTCTCCATTGCTGGCATTTAGACAGCAATCATGTCTTCCCAGCCTTTTTACAATGGCAAAAGACTATTGATTAACCTCTTCAGAGTTACACTGTCTTTCACCCTGATCTTCCAACAGCCTTTGTTTCGTGCTTGTTCCACTCTGAATTAAATCTGAACATGTCTCCACAGGGCACATGTGCTCTTGTAAGCACACTGGCTCACTACCAACTCTCAGGGAGAAGACAGATAAACAGCATCATGAAAGCTGCCTCCTTATTTCTTCAGCCAGAAAGTGTTAACTCATCATATAAATGTTTCAGTTTGTTTCAACAGGAAGCAAAATGGCCTATTTTTAATCATCAACAGACATACTAAGACATGCCCATTGGAGAGCATATCCTTAGCCTTTTCATAGCAGGAGCTGAAAGGCACGTGAACATCTGAGTCGAGTTTAAGGACAGTACAATGTTCCATTCACAGGGAGCCTGCACCATGCCTAGGACACCCGCTGTAACTGCAACCCAGCAAACAATACCACCGAGCCACAACCTACCACAGCTTTTCATACTCACTCATGGTGATCACTAAAGCTCTGAAGAAGCCTCAAGAACTGTATCTTTAAAGTAATGTCCTAAAAAGAGACAAGAAAGGTCAAAAAATTTTGCTTTAGTATTTTTGGATATCATTAAGTACCAAGCTGACATGAAACAGCTGAATTGAAAACCTATCCAAATCAAACCCATTTGGACAGCAGAGCAAGTGACTTGCATAAATGGAGAAGGCTGCGCTTTGCAGGCTTCCCAAAATAGAACAGAAGTGAAGACTGCCTCCAACCCTATGTGCGTAACAGTGAACAATTTCTTCTCACTGCAAAGGCAAAAAAGCTCATCACTGTACTGATCGATTTAGAATATCTAGGTTTGGAGGGGGAAAAAAAAAAAAAAAAAAAAAAGAAACCACCCCTCCCCAGCCCCCCAAGAAATCTGTCTGTGATCCATTTTATGATCTGTGCCTCCTTGCTAGACCTACTAGCTATCATTTCCTTAAGCTTTGGTCATCTTCTACCTTTGGCCTCCAGGGACCACAGAATTTACCCCTTTCCCAGTTCCCAAACTGGAAGAGAGGGAAAGAGGCTAAATTGCCCTCTGCTAAATTGCTAGCATGAGCCAAAGATAAATCTTTAAGTGAAAACAATAATTCACAAAAACCTGAATGTTACCATGTCTCAATTAATTTATTACAGAAGCACCTAGTTACTCAATACAACTCCTCAGAACTATATGATAGGATAAAAATCCAATACAGAATTTAAAAAGTTACTCACTGGGCTACAATCACAATTTTGGTTGTGTCCATGCAGAACAAGGGCTGATGCCGAATGCTTTCTCCAGATCAGTTTGTCAAACAAGTTATTGAGGCCAGGAATCAGTTTGAACTCTGCTATCATTTTATGAACCTGGAAAACAAGAGAAGTACATACCATAGTCTGGTAAACAGATGGGCACAATTACATCATCTTCTGACAACAGAAAGAGTGAATTCTTTTATCAAACAGCACGTGTTTGTGTTAACATGCACACTAATCACAGTGTATCATTACAGTTGTTTCCATTTGGTGGACATGGATAGAAACCAGACATTTTGGGAGAAAGCTGTTAGCCAGTACATCAGTTAACCATGTGCCTCTGGAAGCAGCTTTGGAAATGAGGAGATCACTTCCAGCACATCAAAAATACACCTATACCTAACTTCTACATATCACAAAACTAAGCTGTGTATATTCTGCTGCCAGTCATCTATTGAGCATCCTTTGCTATTCTAGTTCACACAGCTGAAGCTAAGGTAGTCCTCTCAAGACTGCACAAACTGTCTTGTTTTTGTTCAAGTGGCAGGAGTTCTGAGCAAAGCAGCGTCCAGCAGTACCACAACCACACCACAGTTCAAGCACTGCTCCTTCAGGTTAAGGGGAAGTTGAACGTCTTTAGAGAATGCTCAGAAGGGAAGAAAATGCCAAATTACTCAGGTTTATTTATCAGTCTGCCTGCCAAGCTAGGATGTGGTACTTCATGACATGTTTGAAACAGACTGTAGTTACTCATGTAAAACAGCTAATAATTTTGGTGTGAACAGCTGTTAAATACCTTCAGTACAAGCTTTGATACTTTTGATGTAAGCAATTTGAAAGATGAGGAATAGGAGAAATACAAAGTGCGACTCATCAGCTGTAGGCCTATGACAAGCAGTATCCCTTGAGATGTGGTGCAAATGAAAACCACGCACAATTGGGAAGGCCAACATGCTGTAAAAATTAAGTTCCCAAAGCAGTAATGGACATGTTCCTTAAAATCAAGTCACCTAAACAATAACCGAGGTCATCCCTGAGATGCAGAATTATAACTACCAGTATTTCAAGCAGATCACTCCACTTTGTTCAGTTTCCTCAAATACCTGAATGAATCAAAAATATTTGAAGCTGATGCTATTTTACAGGTTTTCGTTCTTATTCTTGTTTGCAGCATAGCTCATGGCTTTTTGCATTCTTCTTGGCTGTAGCCACCAACATTCCCGCTGCTGGGCATCTCCAAATATCACACCTGAGGAAGCATGCAGCTTCTTCCCACTTCACCCATACTACCCTAACAGATTGCAAAGCTTGGAGTCTTTTGGTGCTCCCTTACTTTAAAACACTCTCAGACACTTTGATCTAGTCACAAGCCTCCAACAAAAACAGTTCTGAGGAATCTCTCTGAACAAAGCACTCCCTGTAGTCCCCCCATCCCTCAGTGGCCAGCATGGCACAAGCACAACAGGATGAAACCAAGCGTGCGAGCTGCCTGCAAGAGCCTTGGCCCCTCAATAAAGGAGGAGCTCTCTATACTCATCATTTTAACTCATGAATCTGCTCCTTTCCATAAAGAGCATAAACTGCTTATTCCAGATGACTCATCCCTAATTTAAAATGTGTTCAGTTTACTTTTAGTTTGCATAACCCTAAGTTCTCACCTGACAGACAGCTGCATGACAAAGCTCCTCAGTCACAGTCATTGCCTTTGGATCACAGTCTCCCAGACCCCAAACTCATTACAACTACTCAGCCTGGGGATGCCAAGACAACCCCTGCTCTATATGCATCCTTCAAACTCCTCTGACTTTTTCCTGTTGCTGCTCATGAATTGCTCCATTGCTTTCTTACTACTAAAACTATTATGAGCTTCTGCTGAGTGCAGTTTGGCTCCCTATAGCAGGAGCAAGTAAATCCGCTGCTTGCCTTTTACCACAATACAGACATGCAAGACAGCCTAGAAAAATATAGAAGGAGAGTAATTTAGGGTGTGACCATAATGAGAAGGAAGCAAAGGACAAATCTGCAATGAAACACCACTTATCCCCAAGGGTGTGATCATCCACAACGTAGCAGCAGGTAGGAGCCAAGTTGCTGCTAGCACAGCTGTCAATTTATGCAGGTTAGCCAGCAGTCAAGTTTAAACCAAGAATTGAGAGTAAACATTCAGCAATGGGTTGAGTTTGTTGGGAAGCCGCACCATCCTTCAAGCAAATGCAGACCATTATGTTGATTATCACAGTGGACTGAAGCAGGTTTGTAATGCCTTTTAGAAATTCTATGCAAAATTATTCCAATATAAAACCAGTAAGACCTTTGGCTGCTCAGACTGGAAGACTGGTATCACAGATCCTGTGCTTTTATTCCCTCATAGAAAAAGAGATACCATCAAGCAGCTGAAATGCTTATCAATGAGAGTGCTATGGCAGACACTGCCATTCCCTGCTTACTGGAGCTTTCCACACAGAACAATTCAGCTCTAGTTCTTAGTCTGACTGTCTCTCAGAAAGGAGAATGGATTTGCACTAGCCACACAAGTCTTTGAAAACTTCACATAGATTAAGGAATGAAGGATATATCATGTGTTTCAAAGGCAGAGGACTTTACAAAAAGACCTGGCTCTGGACAAGAAGTGTTTGGGAATGAAGTAACTCAAATCTTTCAAGAATTCAATTCCAGTCCTGAATCAGCCCTGGAGAAGTGAACTGCATGCCAGCTGTATCCTTACACAGTTTCCCCGTTTGCATGGGGGCAGAAGTAGCAGAGGAAGAACAAAGTTGTTTTCCCAGGAAATTTAAAAAAAAAAAAAAAAAAAAAAAGTCAGCTTGAAAGCTAGCTATTTCAGCAGCATACTTTCTACCTCGTCACATTTGACAGTAAAACACAAGAACTGACCCAGGGAGTTAAGGAAGCCAGCATCTCCAGCTCCCTGAACAGGCGGCAGTAGGATGAGGGCAAGCTGCAAGTAAGTTTCTGCAGTATCTATAAAACTGCATTCTTGTGGTGAAATCAGGCAGGGATGAATTATCTGGCTTGATACAATGGAAAAAAAAAGTCCTCCTAACAGATCCATGTTCTGGTAGTTCCAGTTATGTCTTGGACTTTTTTTAAATTTTGTTTTATGCCCAATATAAACAGTACTTCTAAAAGGAATGACAACAGGATTAGGAGTTTCTTATGGTAGCGATTGTGGTTTCTGCAAGAATTGCTAGTTTCCTCTGGTTACTATTATACAGAATCTATTACTTTTTAATGCTGAGTGTCCATTTGTAGGTTCAGAGTGAACAGGTTAGTTATGTTCAAGACTGTACTACAAACACATTTCTATTTTAAACTCAGATTAAGAGTTTTAAGACACTGCCTGTGGTGAGTGTTTGTGACTCCTGTACAGTGGGAGGTTACTAGCAAAGAACAAAATACTCAAGATAAATGTGCTCAAGCAACAGCCCCCCAACACATCTACTCTTGCCTAATACAACAGCCCTTCAACAACTCAAAACAATTTGATCCTCCCAGTCTCTAGGGCATCCAAATGCCCCTGCTATTCCAAGCTGCTCTGCTGAGCTGAGCAGACTGCTAATGTTGGAAACCTGTCAAAACTGCACCAATGGATTGCTTTTCTTTTCCCTTCACAATATACTTTTGACCCATTTAAAATCAAACTACAGCCAAGCTGCAGTGACTGGTTCTCCGTAAGCCTGTGTGAGGCAGGGAACAAATTTTTCATTTCGAAAGCAAGAAATACCAAAGGAACAGATAAGTGGGATTTCTAGGCAGCACCCAGTGCAGACAGCACTGAAGTGTATCCTCCCAGCTGAAGGTTTAACAACATGCTCACACTCAAGCCGATGCGTGGGAACCTACTGCAAAAATCACCCATTCACAAATCACCCCAGAGGATTTCCAAAAGTGAAAGCAGTCAAAGAAGGGGAAGACCTGAAAGGGCTCTGCATCCATCTTGCACCAGCGCAGCAGCTCTGCAGAGACTGACCACCCCTCCACCCCACTGGTCAGCACAACTTGTGACAAGGCCTGCCCAATGGCTCATTCTGGTTCTCAGCAATGAAACACTGCCTGTTTGTTTGTGGATCGCTGCAATGATGGGATTTGCCCAGCTTTACGCCTTGAGCTTTGCCCTTCATGTTTCTGTGTCCATGACCTAATTAATGAGCACTTAGGTTTAAAGAGACATCAACTTCCACATGTGTGACTGTTTACAAGTGCTCACCTGATTCCTTTGTCTCCCCATGAGCAGCACACAGAGAACATACAACACCTCCAGCTTATACATAATCTCGTGCATGATCTTCATGGACTGTGGAAGCTGTGTTCTTGTTGAGGTGTTGGCCAACCCACTTTCATCTGAAGACTCTGAACAAGATGGCAAAGATGTGAGCCTGAGGCAGCTTCAACAGGAAAGGATTTGTTACAGTTATTACTTTTACACTGAAACACTGAAGATAAGACCAGCATGCCTGCTTGAATCTTATTCTCAACTAAAGTAGTGACATACAACAAATAACCATTTTAAAATAAATGCTACAGAAGAGAAAAAATACAGCCTGGAACTTTAGAGGAGATAAAATTAGATTTTTAAAAATTATTTAATTTTTCCATAATAAGCTAAATGGCATCATCTACCTAAAATAAGTAGGATCACCTACATGAATTAATAGATTACTGCACCAAAAAGCACATAGCAGAAAAGGTAATAAAAGCAGGGGTGAGATTATCAGAAGCATTTATTATTAGTCTACTTTCATTTCATACCTCAGTACCAGTATACTTAGGCCACAGTTAAATCATTTTCATAGCCCTATCTAGAATTATACTGGTAAGGGCAGAAACAGGATATAACACGCCATGATTGCAAGTGGAAAACATGGCAGAAATCATGAGTGAAACAGGGAAAGTAAGGACACAGTGAACGTGTAGGTTGCAGTTCAGAAAGGAGTTAGCTCTTTACACAATACATAACTAAGTGATGAACCACCCTGCCACAGGACAGTGTGAATGCTTTTTGAACACATGTGAAGAAACAGTAACTAGGCAAACACACAAAGGAAGGAAACCATCAAAAGCTCAAAAGCATAGACAACACCTCTGACTCAGAAGTCCCTAAGCCACAAGGCACTGGAGACTGAGGCAGTATTCTGGGAAAGTACACCTAGGTTTGCTTGCTAACTGACGTTGTGGGTCAAGAGCTCTGACTGGGCATGTTTCACCTCAGCAAAATTGCCTTGTGAATTCCGTTCCAAAATACCAAGCGTTCTCCAGTTTCCACTAAGTTGGTGTGTATAAAGGTATGCCTGAGATGCTGTTGAAGCATTCACATATTTCATTTTTTTGTGTAATTTCAGAAGTTTTAATAATTCATTGCTACAAAACTAATGAAGCTGGATAAGGAAGAAAGTTTTCCAAAGAAGCACAGAAGCAAAGATTTAGGTATCAAAATTTTGGAAAAATTCTCATTACGTTACCAAGTACTTTGAGTTCTACAAGACATACACTGCATTTTTGTAATATTGAAGGGTGAAGAAACAAACCACATGCTTGCTTCAAAGCATTTTCCTAAGGTTGTATTAACACTTCCATATGCTCTCCTGGAACAATTTTTTTTTTTTCCTCCAATTACCTTATTTAATTTTTCTGGAACTACCTTTCCTTTTTAAAGAAGTGACCACTTGTTTGGTATGAAGTATTTGGACCTAAAGCCATCAGCCTAAGTTTTAGAGCAAAATGCTGGTAAAGTCACTTACCTCAGATGTGCGTTATTTTTGTCACTCCAGGGGAGATTAGTGTTGAGGATGTACAGTATTACAGTGCTATCTAGGTGTGCAAAGAGCACAGTTTGCCATAGGACATTTCCTTTTGCTAACTTTAATTCATGAAAAAAAAAATCAGTGCTACATGAGAACAAAACAGGAGTCAGACCTAAATCCTGATACGTCAGTTTTTCATGTAAGAAAAAGGGAATCAATACCAGTTGAAATGAAAAGCAATACATGGCAAACACTGACGAACGTTAAGATATACATCAACCAATAATGACTAGAGGAATGCAAGCCAGATACCTGTACTGCTCTGCTCCGCCTCTTCATTTGCTACTCTCATCAGTGCATCAAGTACTAGTGCATTGTCCAGCCAGGTGTACCATTCTTCTAACTCCTGAAGGAAGCTGGAAGTACCTGTTGTTTCAGACACCTTCCTTGTTGCCAGTTTGCACAATCGCTCAATGAAGCCTGGAATATTCAAAAGTGTAGCTGAAAAAGAAAAATAATTTTATTACGATTTAAGATCACCAACACAACAATCATCAAATCCTCTATACCACAAGGTACCAAGACATCTACATTAGTAATATAGAAGACTACATAGAAATAAATTCCATCTGGTTAAAAACATCCAAAGATGGAAGAAGTCGGTGCACTCTCCTGTTAAGGACTGGAAGAGAGTGTACATATCCTAGGCATAATTCAATCAGTGTTAAACTGGTTTGTGTTGGACTTACACTGGAAAAAAATTAGTTCTACCCTGCTTTAACTGCTTGTTTCTGGCCAATTCCCTTTTGCTGGCACTGCTGTTTTCCAGTCCACAGTGAGTCAACATCAAGGAACTGATCTGGCTGAAAATTAAGCTGGCAGAAATAAAGCAGCAGTCCTTAGAAGGGGCAGCTCCACCTCCCCTTTCCTCTGTGCAATGCTACCTCCTTCAGTTTACCTCCTGTGGTGTGTCATAGCAAACTGAACTAGCTCACTTCAGTAGCTGGGCAGAAAGCTCAGCTTTTTAAGTACTAGTTTCCCGAATTAGTTCATCATGGAGAAAAACAGATGGGGAACACATGACAGCAGCCCCAACTCAGAGGGTTTTAATTGTTGTGGAACTGCACCCTTAGAAACAGCAGTTCAAGGACAGAAGTCACTGGTCTGCAAAATACTTGGGGAGGTGCTAGGAGCTGCATTTTGTCCTAAAGTTTTCACAGAATAACTTACTTACAGGACCTGTTTATTATAGATACATGGCTAAGTCTTCACTTCACACTTGCAGGTGCAAGTAGAAAAGGACAAAGAATTTGGCCATGAACACTATGTGAAAGAGTTGCAAGATTCTGCCCACAGGTACCATCTCTGAAAGAACAAGCTCCCTGATAAAATTTTTAAAATGGAATATGCTTTACAGCCCTAGACACATGCTCTAATTGTACAAACAAAAAATGATTAGTTAAACATTTGCTTGGCTAAGTTCAGCTCTGTAGGATCCAAGCTTATTCAGTTCACCTGAATTAAACTTTGTACCCACACCTACACATACTTGTGCATTGCTCTTTACAAGTAAGCTCTGGCAATCACAGGGCAGAAGACAATACATCCCCCTTTAAAGTTTCTCAGCTTCTGCCTGCTGTATTATGCTATCCATCTCTCACTGGATGCTGTAGAGGCGGCAGCAGTTACAAATGGAGCTTTGCTGTTCATGGCTAACACAAAATGGTAGAAGATGAGAGAACCAGCTCCAAAATCCCTTTCTGCACTTCCCAAAATTGTTTGGCATGGGCCTATGCAAACACCTGCTTCAGAGGCCCAAAAGCTTTTCAGCATAGTAAGAGCAGATTCTACATTTGAGGGTACTTTAATTTAAATCTCTTAAATTCATACTCATCCTTTTCAGCAAGACTTCTGCATCTAAGAAGTACTCAGCAAAATAAGGAAATCTGCACTGTGCCCAAAGTTTAAGTTGAGATTAGACCCACAGATTTCCAAGGCTGGTGTGGTAACAGTGGGCAACATGATTAATATTAAACACACTTTATCATCAAGAAAGACATCCTGCTCAGGACAATGTCAGATAAAATCAGAGAAGGATCTGCTCCGCCAGCAACCACGCTGCATGCCGTTTTAGTTCAAGAATTCGTGTTTTTTAAGGAAGACACAGAATTACTGAGAGTTACTAAATGGAAAGCCGTGGAAATGACTGAGGGATAGAAAAAAAACCCAATTATTTTAAGCTACTCAGTTCATCAAAGAGGGCTGAAATGACAGAAATTAACTCACCTAATTACCAACACTATATGAAACTGAAAGCTACAAAGTAAGTTTTATTAAGAGAAAAGATTGTTTCCAGTAAAATGCCTGAGGAAAGTGAATAAAGAAAAATGCTTTGTAAGACAGAATGCTTACAGTATCCTCTAGAAACATAGGCTACAGATGTGACATTGAGAGGAGGGAAACTTTACACACTGTTGAGATTCTTCTGCATTTGCTCACAATGTAACAGTTACCTTGATTAATTTCAGCTCGAGAAGGACCCAAGTTTTTTTTCTGCTGGGCATTTTTGGCAAGAAGCGTGTGCTTGTCATCACTTCCTGTGTCAAGTTCAGAAATTGTGACAGCAAGGATCCTGCAGAAGTTTGCAAGCTGCTGCTGATCAAAACTGGACACAAGGCTCGCAAGATTGGGAATATCATCCAGTTGTATCATTTCCTGGAGGAGGCAACATCAACTAAGTAAGTCGCACGTGATGTTCAATAAGTGAACACAGACACAGCCAGGCGGCTTCAGCTACAGCTCTTCCCTGGTGAGATCTGTGTTTTTTCAATGTTAGTAAAGAGAAGCAAGCAGGCAGTGACAAGTGAAGAGTCTGAGAACAGCTGTGATTTACAACTGGTGTCACTTATGTTTATCAATTCCAAAAGTATAGATACCCACATTTTAAAGACTAAGTATTTACATAAAATTTGGGGGCTTTTTTTAATTAAAAAAACCCAACACAACAAACCCAAACCCAGAACCAAATTTAACACACAAATTACATTTAGATATTAGAAAGTTTCAATATTGTTTTCCACTTCTGTATTTCCTTTGAAACTCACAGATGAGAAGCATGTCGTGGTTTAACCCCAGCCAGCAACTGAGCACCATGCAGCCGCTCACTCACCTCCCCCCCACCCAGTGGGATGTGGGAGAGAATCAGGGGAAAAAAAACCCAACCCCAAACTTGTGGGCTGAGATAAAAAGTTTAATAGAACAGAAAAGGAAGAAAATAATAATGATAATAATAACAACAATAAAACAAGAACAATAATGAAAGGATTGGAATATACAAGTGATGCACAATGCAATTGCTCACCACTTGCTGACTGATGCCCAGTTAGTCCCCAAGCAGTGATCCCCCCCCCCCCCCCCCAGGCCAGCTCCCCCCAGTTTAGATACTGGGCATGACATTACACGGTGTGGAATACCCCTCTGGCTGGTTTGGGTCCACTGCCCTGGCTGTGTCCCCTCCCAAATCCTTGTGCCTCTCCAGCCTTCTTGCTGGCTGGGTGGGAGAAGCTGAAAAATCCTTGACTTAGTCTAAACACTACTGATCAACAATTGAAAACGTTAGTGTGTTATTGGTGTTCTTCTCATACTGAATCCAAGACATAACACTATACCAGCTACTAGGAAGAAAATTAACTCTATCTCAGCTGAAACCAGGACAGGCGACTTCTAGATTATTTTTCTCAGTCTTTTTCATCAAAAGATCTTTTTAATATAAAGGTGTTGAAAACAGTTCTCAGCAAAAAGCATTTATGTTCAGATAAACTAAGCTTGTTTCGTATCTCAGGAAGTACATCATCCTTGACTTTACTCTAAAAAAACAGTGACAAGTTACAGAATCCTGACCCTCTCCACAAAATGTACAGAGACACATTTCATTCAGCATTTTCCCAGGTTTACACCTCTAATATTTTATTTGCATCACATCAGGGCACTAAGCTGTAATGATGCTGGCAAGCAAGTTCAAAAACCTAGTTTGTGCAGAAGACCTAAGTGCCCTGTTCCCCCAGCCTACAACTTCTCAGAGAGGTGATGAACCTCAAGGTAAGAGAGAAGCACAGGAAGCCTTCCTGATGTCAGGAAGACTACTAAAATATTTGAAGGCAAGGATGAGAAGTGAATTTATATGAGGTTCATTTTGTTTATTTGAAATACTGGTTGTACTTTAATGACAGCTTGGTACTCGCCCTCCATCATCCTCTGCAAGCTATACAAAAGCATTACAAGTATGAGACCACAGGCATAATTTGGCTTCTATATGAAACATGGCTGAAGTTAATGATCACTGTAAACAGTCATGTTTCAAATAAGCTACAAGAAGCGAGAATGCTAGCTTAGACAATTACCTTCAGCAACTCTCCAAAGAAAGAGTTCTTTCCTCTACTGGCCTGAAAAGCCATACAAATACAATTTAAGAAACCAGTAACTAACCTTTTTAACTCCCAAGATATCTTCAATGAGTGTTGCAGTTTGTAGGAATGTCTTTTTGTTTGTCATCAGTGTAAACAGGAACAACACAAAGTCATTTCTTTCTGCCAGTCGCCTTGTGACTCCTTCCGTCTAGAAAGCAGCAAATGCACACGCAGACCCAAAGTCAGAGTCCACCTCGAGAAGTCGCACCTTACAGGCACATGCAGGACAGTTTTACAGATGATGTGTTATCAAATCAGCTATTCCTGAAACCAGGAAACATTGTTTATGGTGACCAAAACTAACTTCAGTCCTTGTTTGAAGTTAACGTGATGCTTGCAAAAACTACAGGCTCCAGGATGAGAGGTTTCATCTCAAGGCAGTTGTTTACTTGCCTGAATCAAAAGTAAACACTGCATGCCTGGAAATACGTCAGAGAGGCTTGTTTCTGGTTTCCCATACAAATTGTAACCAGCTCCATTTTATCGTATGTAAATGCAGTCCCCAGATTCCTCCTCAACAGTCAGCATTGCTGCTCAGCTAGGCAGAGTCTGAGCAATGAGAATCAAGTACTGGCCTTAATGAACTTGGTGATGAACCCAAAAGTCATGCTAAAGCATGAACTCAAGTTCATCACCAAGTTCATTAAGGCCAGCTTTCATGCTCTGATCTCTGCTGAGAGCACGGCCAGTCTTTTCTGGAATTAAACGAAACTTAAAACTACATCCTTACTGCTTGCAAAGCTGTGTATTATATATGACTGACATATTACCAGCGCTTGCAGAACTAGACTAGCTTAGACACTCCTGGATATTTAAACATAAGCCTAAGAACAGTTAATATTGCACACATTTCTGTGATCCTAAACACTTCTCATTCAAGAGAGAGCAGTAATACTGAAGTGAATTAAAACAGCAGCTAGTCTATAAACTGCAAAGTGGTTTCTTAGCACATGAAGCTATTCACAGTTTGCAAAAGTTGCATTACCTGTATTTAAAAAAAAAAATAAAATCATGTAAGGCAAGGAGAAAAGTGTTCCCTCTCTTCCCCCTCCCATATGTACACAGATACTTACTAGTGAGAACATCTGTTAAACTCTGGAGATTAGGTTGATATCTTTAGACAGTAACTGCCTTTTTCTAAATTTTTGTTAAACAATGTTTCCTAGGTTATTACATAATACAATGTGTGATTAAGTAAGCAATCCTGAGGGTGTTTGCTGCATGCATAATCTGAGGCATGCGCTTTTAGGTTCAGAATTTTAATGGCAAGGTGTTTCAATAGGCCTTTAACCCAGCATCTTCCTTGGCACTGATCTGCCATCAACTGAACTGAACCAATATTCAGCACATGAAGGAGTTACAGGATCAAACTTAAAACACTTTGCCAGCACCATTACTGAACAAGACTAGCTGTAGCTTGGCTTAGCAGGCATTCATTTCCAGTTTCAAATTTTAAGTTTGAATACAACAAAGGCTGCCACAGCTTTCCTATGGAAACACAGATACAGACAGATCCAAACAGGAGGACTTAAACTTGACAATGTGGCTAAGAAAACAGAAATTATTTGAGTAACACATCAAAATATAGGGCGGTCCTATATTTAACTGAAGGAATTTTAATGAAAAGTAAGTTTGAAAAGTAAGTTTAAATTATGCTTAAAAGAGTCTGTATGTTGTATTATCAAGTGGCACATGTAAAACATGACCAGCAGAACACTTTCCCGCAGCAACTGTACTTACACATATACACGTGTTATACAGTATGCTTAAACAGTCCTTGATGAGGTCATCGCTTACTGCAAAGGAGAAAACAGACATTCACTAGCTATACATGGCCAAGGAACACTAATGTCCAACAGTAGTGACGTGAATAGCTATAAAGCAGGTGAGAATTTCAGGCTAACTAGCTCAGATCATACGTGCAAATGCTTTGGAGGATAGACACCAGACAAAGAAACACTCTATACCTGACCTGTTCACATGCTTTCTTCCAAAACTACTATCAGCACTGCCTAGGACCACAGACAGAGATATATTTGTGGTCTAGTGCACTTCTTAGTCACACACAAAAGAAAACTATAGAGTTGTAAACAGTATTTTAGGAAAAATATCACAGATCAACTCAAAATTTGTCAATATGAGAAACTGCTGAGACATGTTATTAGTTCCACAGGAAAAAAAAAAAGGACAGTTCATGCAGTTTTCTCCACGCAGCATCAGGAATTCATAGAAAAGCTTTCAATCTGAATTACTCCAGCATTTTCATATTTAAAGTATGTTTTCTGTATAGACATACAACAGCTGCCTCTAGCTCAAGTTCAAGTTACTTCACCTTTGAAGTTCCCTGGCTGACTGGCATGGAGTGTACCATGACATCTCCTTCTGCTGGTTCAGGGAACCAGCAGAATCACAGACAGGAGAAATGAAAACACTAAACCAAAGCTGCTCCAGCAGGAAAGTTGTGCTGAAGCTACTGCACCCCACTGACAAGTTCTCCTTATACCAATTTGGAAATTAGTAGTCACTATGACTAGGTCAGGAAAACAGCATACTTTTCATTATCTCACAATCTCTGTAACTCCTATTACATAAACAATGTTTTGTGACTTATTATTAATAATTGTTAAATGTAGCTATAGCCACGGTAACAATAAAAGTTTCCAGTGATTGCAGATTTACTGCATGGAGAGAAGTATGTGCTGCTGAGTGCATGAATACTCCCAAGCTGTGCTTTTCAGCAGGTGACTATCCTAAACCCCATCACGAATAAGTACTACAGAGAACAAAGAAACCAATGATTCATTTAGGAACAGGAAATTGCTGGTATGGAAAGAGAATAACAGAAAAATAGAATAATTTATGTCTGAGTAAGGACACAAGGCAAAAATGGAAAACAAGATAAAATACCTATTTACTTACTTTTCTGTTTCTTTTTCTGTGTAATAAGAGTAGGTCTCATAAGAATTTCTACTAAAAGCTGTAATAACAAGATAAAGAATTAAGGGAATAGTCATTGAGATACAAATAGCCAATTAATTTGTCAGTGACAAATCCAAACTTAGTCCTGTCTCTGCTGAAGTCACAGAGGTGAAAAATGGAAGCTCTACAATCAAAACCCCACTGGTGTCAAAATTACATTGACAAAAATTATTTGTATTTACCCTGAAGAAATAATAACAGTTACATAAAACAATCTCCCACTGGCAAGTTTTAAAGATTTAAGTCTGCAAAGAATGTTAATTTCACATGCATCCAGCTAACATCAAGGATGGCTATCACACATCTCTCAAAATAATGAATCTTTAGCAATAATCTGCAAAGAGACACAAATTTTGCAAAGGCTCTCACTAAATCTTGCTGGGCTTCAAAACACATTTTGGGTCCTGACATAACAGAACTTAGTTGCTCCAGATTTTAATCTCAACAACAAAGAGCAAGCCACTGCTTGTGTACATGCACCTTGTATATATACCTACATATAGATTCACAGATATGTGAAGTGTTGTCTCATTTCTATTTAAGGAATGTAAGAGTCAGCTTTCCAAGACTAGGACTATGGTTCTGATAGATGTAGAACTGATGTTTAGCAGTTCTAGCCTATACCACTGGTTTACTTTAAAACATTTTAAAAAATAGCAGTTTATTTAAAAATGAGAGTTAGCCACTAGAAGGAATTGATGAATTCTGCAAGAAGCATTGCAAAAAGCCCCTACTTTTAAAATTCAGTTTAAAATTGTTAAGAGCAATGTAGGCATCACCCAGTGAAGTCATCCCAACCAATAATATACTCGCCCTATTTGTTCCAGCTTAACTTTAACCTTCTTTTAATGAACTGCCTACCCAGACACAGAGGAAAACATCTGACAGCACTGGAGGCACTGCCCACATTTTAAGCACTGACAAATAAATAAATAGGCAACTTTAAAGAGGAATATACATTTTCCAGCAATATATGTAATAGTAGCTGTAGCATCAATAGGGTAGAGAAAAATGACTGCAGCAGTAATGTAGCGCTCATATTAATGGCTTACGTTTTAGGAGGAGAATGCACAACTCAAGGCTTGGTACCCGAGATAAGCATCCAAAGATATCCCTATGCACTTGGGATGCAGGCCACCTGCTCTTCTCCTGGGAAAGAACACCTACTGAAACAAGTCTATCCTTTAGGGGTGGCCACAGTCATGATCACTCCTGCCTTGCCACAGAGTGGATCTTTTCAGCTAGTATTTATTTTTCCTGGTCAATACTATAACCCACCATGTATTTATCACCTTATTCTTGCAGAACTGGTATGCTCCTCACATACACTCCAGGGACTGGACTGCAGTGGTGTGAGACACTCCTTGGAGAGGGCTTTCTTCAGCCATCCTACTGAAACTGCAACAGTATGCAGCAAGAAGCGCAAGAGTCCAATGGCAGAAAGAGAATAGGTAACAGGGTGCCTCACCAGAGGCAGAAGGAGCAGAAAGGGAGTTATGAGATCTTATTTCTTGGACTGGGGTTGCATTCAGATCCAAAGTCCACGAGGCTTGTGTATCAGTTCATGTGTTTGTACTCTCGGGTAATATTTTACATGTATTCATATAAAGGGAGGAGACACAAATGTGCATTTGTTCTTCCTTGATGTAAAGGCTGTCAGAATCCAAAAATATTTTAAGGAATATACTATCACACATTATAGCATATACAGAGTATACTGCAAATTTAGTGTCCTTCAAAGCTACTCATGCTTCACAGTTCAAAATACTGCAACACAGAATCATCACATGGCATACACAGAACCAGCAGATTAGACCACTTCCCTTTCAAGTCCTGGAGTAGGATTTTCAAAAACACATAGCACTGGCTTCTACCACTGCATTAAACTCACTTGTATCAGCCAAATCTCTGGCCATAGTACCAGATAATTACAGTGTATTTGATATTTACCATCTCCAGCCCAAGAAAAAACAACAATAAACAAACAACCCCAACCAACAAAACCCAACCAAATATTCCCTCCTCCCCCCACTTAATCTGTGCATTCTTATGTTAAAAGCACTTCTATGGGAAGTATCACTATTTCCCTTTAAAAACAAGGGAAATTTAGAACATTTTCATACAACTTTCTACATTGTTTGGGTAGTTGAAGACTTTTGTCCTCAGTTGACAGGATACCAGCAACTAAACCAGTGTTAATTTCAAAACAACATAATCTAAATACAATTTTTACTTAAGTAAAGGCATGCTAAGTGTAACAAGAGAGAAGTAGCAAAGACACTGTTTAGTTAGACCACAAAAAAAAAAAAAGGAAGAAAGTGTCAATTAGTTCACTGAAAAATACAAATCATACATTACTACTGAAAGCTAAGATTCCAGAGTCTGTCACCATAAAATCGAGCAAACGTAGGTATTTGTGTAATGTAGAATTAAAAAAAAAAAAAACAAAAACCAAAAAACCCCAAAAGATAAATTGCCAGAATGTCTACAGAAACCTTGCAGTTCTGTTTAAAAACGTTTCCACAGATGAAGTAGTCTGCATTGCATGCCAGCAATAAACATAGACAACCTGGCTAAGAGAGCGCCCTAGTGTGCTTAAAAACCCGCCACATACCCTTCAGTGGCAAGTGAAATTCTCAGTGCTCTAGTACCAACTGTATCTCACAACTAGAAATCATTTGAAACTGTTTTCATTGAGAACCTAGAGGTCTCACCAGTTAAAAACTGACTGCCCAAACAAACAGTCAGATCTTCTATATCATACAAGAAAAAGCACCTCACTTTTGATGATATAATGCCTCGGAAAATACACCCTTTTCACATTTTGATTAACAGGAATAGGCACAATTCTAATACTTAACATCAAATTGGCGAAGTCATTCTGTAGCTTGCATTTAGATGCTTCAAAGGTCTCAAGGACCTCACTTACAGACTTCTCAGTGGTATGACTATCATGAAGAAATCTTTTGATATTGTTGAAAAAACACACTTACATCAACTCCTCCAAATAAGTCAAATGTGTATGTATTTGGGAAAGTGGACTCTTGAGCAGCTTTTCTATCTTCTGTAACAAATGCCATGGCTTCCATTGAAAGAAGTGGAGAAATTTCCTGTGTGCAGTTAAAAAAAAAAAGTTAAAAACGAAAACTGTTTATCAGTATAAACACAATTGTCTCCAACTCTCTGTGTGATCTACTGACTAATCAATTACACGCATTGCCAGCTCTTATCTACCAGCCAATTCACAGATACTATCATGCAAACAGTTTCAAAAATTAGTTAGAATATGATCACAGTAAACTTTAAAGAAAGCAACAACAAAATAACCCCTAGCTTTCAGGAAGAACAGTGCAGACAGTACCTTTAAGATGCTTTGGCACTGGGAGAAATCACTGTTTGGGTGGCTATGTTCATACAGCTTTTGCAACAGTAAGGGAATCCCATTCCATTTTGCTTGTTTATCTCTTTCCTTTAACAAGGCCTCTGTGATCTGCAACAAAGAAAGAATTTAATTCCCATGTGTCCAATGCTTCATAACCAGGAAAACAACCTTATCACCTCCCCAAAATATCAATATCCAAGTATCACAGAAAAACAGTTTATTGTAGAGAGTACCAATACAAAAAATACCATTATGAAATCCAGTACCTCTTTCCGTGCAGCAATTTATCCAGGACTGGTAGCTGCAGAATTTTACAGATGGTCAAAGTATCTTAAGCAGGACAGGCCTTAAAGCAGATGTTATAATTTAGAGTACTTAATCTCATTCCATATTTTTATATTGATCATATATTTTAAAATAGGAACACAATACTCTCTAAATAATTCCATTAGTAGAACTCCAATTGACAGGTCACCAAATGAGGAAACGGGTGCCCTTGACACTATCAAAAATTACACTAATCTAAGGCAGATGGAACCCTGAAGATGGAAAGGCTTCATTACTTGTTACATTCAGCTAGTAATGAGTATTTCCCCAGCCAAGTCCCTGAAGCCACTATTGGTCATAGCAATGACCCAAACCACTAAGACTTACAAGCAGGCTCCAGAAGAATGTATCAAAGATACAGTGGAAATTTCCTCTGTAGTCTTGGGCTGGTTATAAATGGAGACCAACAACTAAATCAGTAGAATAACACCACTGTCATTATCCTCTGGGAAGCAGGCTGCAACCACGAAAAAGAACACCTTACCATTTGCTACTACATTTGGGCAAACCTTCTCCAGTTTTCCTCCTTCTCCCCAAAATAAATAAATAAAAAATTCTCAATATTCACCACTGTATTTTACACCTGAAAAAACCTGAAGTAGCAGCACAAGACTAATAAATATTCTGCTTAGAATCGACAAAAGAGGTTTTGGAACCTAAACACTTCCAGGTTACTGCCAGCAGATGCTGTAAAGGAGGAGCTCTTCATTAAAGTTCACCACCCAGTCAATGCTGACCAAAATTTAACTCCCTTAACAATACTTCAGAGGTAGCTAGATCAACCCCAAAATAGGGAATTATCCTTGTACAGAAAGGTAAGGCTGGCAATGACAATTACAGCCAGCAAGATTTCTGGCTGGTTTTACAAAATTTTTATATGCCCTCCAAAAAAAAAAAAAAAGAAGAAAACCCCAATCCCCAGGTCAACAGGACTGCATCTCAATGCAACATGTATGGATTTTCTCTTATTCCTAGGCCTAAACCTCTAAGCTGCTCTCATTCTGCATAAGTCACTCCCCGAACCTTTCTGTGGTTAACTTGCATTGTTTCCCTCCAGCCTGCTTAAATGTTCAGTTAATAGTTAACAGCCAGAAAATCTTGCTTCTTATTGTTTCAGCCAAGACGTCCTTCTCAGATATACCTCAGTGTACAATTCCAAAGGGCCATTCAATTCCTGATTAGACAATTACATGCAAATATACTCCAATTTCTGATTGAGAATTTAACTCTTCTCTGCTTGTTAGGCAGCATACAGGAAAACCAGAGAACTGATGCAAGCACATGAAAACTCAGACTGGCAGTGCTAGCTGCTATGGGTCCTCACCCTTCTTCTAAGCTTCCCAGATACTTAGCGTTCTTTTCCTGATGAAATACCCAAATTTGTACATGACTAAGAACTTCAAGGCTCTTGAAGTACCAGGTTTTCTTGCTACAAGGGGTGATTGAAGCAGCATGAGCAAACCTGGGGCATAAAACTTCCTCCAGTTTTTAACTTTTCCCTGCTTTCTGACTTCTGAATAAGACTAATCAACCAGCACTGCTGCAGAGTGACACAGAGTTCCTTCTGAGGAGGCCATTCGCATGAGAAATGGCAGGACAAAACTAGAAAGTCAAAATGGCTTCTCATCATTTGCACTGTGAGTAATGGGTCAGTTCCTTTGAAGTCACAAATTTCCATTTCTCCTTGTAATACCACACCAGACAGCAAGGATTCTACCACTACCCCCTCTCAGGTGTGGGAGGAGTATACAACCCCACAAGTGGCAGGACGAACCGGATTAATTGCTGGGTAAAGTGCAAAGAACGTGCAGCAAAATGCCAGGGAAAGAATCCAGCTCTCCGGCTCCAGCTGATGTGGAAGATACCACAGGCAAAAATGACGTGCATGGGCTGCAATCTCAGGTTCCAGTAGCACAGCGCAGAATTCAGCATCCAAGTGCTCTAAGAAAAGGCCAAAGCCCTTAACTGATGTTAAAAACTTGTCCTGGGCTTAATACCACATTTGTTAATCACACATACGCTTCTTGGTTTGGGGCAGGATCCATCTCCATTCTCATTTCTATACTAGTAGGTCTTCCTCTCCCTGTCCCAGACTCTGAGAGGCAGTCACTTGTACTGATCTGCAGAAAACTTTCAGAAGTGAAATTCTGAAAGAATGAAGCAAATGTTTCCTTGCTCTCATCTTCTTTTAACTGCTTTCAAAAAAAAAAAAAAAAAAAGTACTAAAGTTTTTCTTTCTCTTGATTTAATACATGTCTCTGGTTTCATTGCAACCTCTAGCTTGTGGTCCCTATTCTGTATTTACGAGGCTACCCTGGCTCTGAATATTTCCATTGTGGCGGCGCGGTATTTGCCAACGCAAAGATTTTGGATTCTGTGGAGGGATTAAAATTCAATTAGATTGTATGGAGCTGTCTTTCTTTACAACCATTTTGGTTAAAAACTGCATCTCGTGATTTCTGTAATAGCAGCTAGTCAACAGTTTTCATTTATAAGTGAAGTTGGTTTCCTTCTTGCTCTTTTTGGGCAAACATTATTGAGTAGTCATCAAAATTAGCACTGGTTCTTTTCGGGCCCCTTTCCCTCTCTAGAATTTTTTGGTCTCATCCAAGCAGGATAAGTGCAATCCAACACTGTTTCTCAGAAATTTTCTTCATTCACTGAATAGCTCTGGATAAAATATCTAAAATCTTGCATACAAAGCTTTAGAAGTTAGATACTATCTAGCAAGAAGGGGAGGTTGCAGAAGCCCAGCTGGAAATGGCATCAGTTAAAAGAAAGGGCCTACCTAACTGACGGCTGCTGGGGTTACGAACCATCGCCTCACTGGCATTAGAAGATGACAGAGTAAGTACAAATTACTGGGGAAACAAAAGAACCAGCGTCAAAACTTCCCTACCACCCAGGTACAGCAAACCAAACTGGTACAAGCACCAGGACTCCACACAGTCACTTCTCAGAAGTCTGCTGTAACACATCCAAGTTTTGTATCGTAAGCTGAGAAACCTGGGGGATGGCACACTATGGCTCTCCAGAAGCAGTTATATTCCAGGCAGGCCTCTGAAACAAGGCGGCATGCGCTAGCTCAAGCCCAAGCACAGAGCTCCCAAACTCTGTCACAGTCCAAAGCAGTCTGTACGATGCCAGTTTTACACTGGCAGTTTACTGAATGCTGTTCACCAGCCGGATGATCAGATACCTAACCAGTACCAGCCATGTCTCCCTGCTGCAGCTGTGTCATTGAAGCCATGGCAGTGGTTTTGCTGGAAGGGCAATCAAAGACTTTGGAGAAGATTTAAGTACAGTTAAAAATGTGTCATCAAGCACAACCATGGCTGCAAGGTAGAGTACACTGAGTGGTTTTCTCTTTAAAGTCTCCCAAAAGACTGGAGCCCAGGATTTCCCAGGAGATTACTCCAAAGACTGATAACTACCGTAGGAATACTTCCCTACTACAGAGTTTGAGTAATTTTTGTGCATATTTTTTCTTGAAAGTATATGAAGGGCTGAACAAAGACACTACAAGCAAATCTAAATCTTTCTTTTAAATTTCTTTCTAATCCTCCTGTGTTATAAATCCTTTTAAAATGCCCCACCATCCCTTAGCATAATGGTCAATAAATAATTATGAATAATACCTAAATCTTCATCAAGTTATATTAAGTTATATGTCAATAATTACCTAAATCCATCCCTTGATCATTTTAGTTTCCCTTTCCTTTCTCCCCCTCCACTTTGCTATAGTATTTGCTATCGATGTTCCTACCCATGACTGCTATCCTCCAGGCACAGCCGCTCCAACAGAAGCAGCTTATCCTCCCTGGCTGCTTTGTGCCTGTGCCCCTGCACGTGGTCAGAACTGCATTACAAGCATTGCCGAAACGTTTGTTACTGGCCTGAGATCTCTTGTAGTCATGACTGCTTCAAAATCCTTTCCCCTTCCAGTGAGGATTTTCATTTCCATTTGTGTGCCTGTGTTGTGACCATTTTCATTGCCCTACAAAGTAAACCTCTTATTTTCCTAACCTGATCTCCACCACTTTTCTAAGCTGTGGGCAGTGACACAACTCCATGTCTTCCCATAGTTGCTGACGAACTAAAGGCCCATGAGCACATGACAGTAGCAGAAATACCATGAGCTAATCCTCCCCTTTGCTCTCCAGAGTACGGGTAGCAGTTTTCTAAGAAAACTGTGTCTCTGTTTCACATTTTACCCTCCAAACATTTCACTGTGTTGCTGAACACTCACTACAGGAGGGTGTTTTCTGTGATCTTTCAAAAAGTGAAAAATGACTCGCGTGTCCAAGCATCCTTTACAGCACTAAAGGATTCATGCTGTGATAAAACTTTACAGCTACGACACATCAGTTGT